CCCCCTCCCCAACCTCTACTTTATGTAAAGGGGTGTATACAGTAAGCAGGCTGATGCCCCCCTCCCCAACCTCTACTTTCTGTTAAGGGGTGTATACAGTAAGCAGGCTGATGACCCCTCCCCAACCTCTACTTTATGTAAAGGGGTGTATACAGTAAGCAGGCTGATGACCCCTTCCCAACCCCTCCTTTATATTAAGGGGTGTATACAGTAAGCAGGCTGATGTATAACGTAGGTTGTAGTACTTACGTCCGGGTTTATCGAGAGAGCCTGCTCCTTACACAACGAACACGTCATTCTTGGGTACTTTTTTAACGAGTCTTCTATAAGAAATTTACACACCGGGAGTAGCGAGGCTTTTACCTGGAAAGGCGGGTCCCTGCAACAAAGTGCAAAATAATATTAATCTAAAACAAAAAGGCAAACTAACCACTGTAAAGCAATACATTTCCCCAAGCAAAATACATTGTCAAGTCGTGATAGAATACATGTACGTGTCTTAAGCCAATCTAGTCGTGTTGCTTCAGTTACTGTTTCATCCAAAGTTCAGGCCTTAGTGCCCAGACAAGCATTTTTATCCAGTAATAATATGTTTACTTTATGGAGTTTTTGCTAAAAAATATTGAGTTGTTCAAAATTTACAACACTGGTAATGATATAGGAAAGATGGAAAACAGAGCTTAAAATAGGAATTATGACACTTTTATAAATATTTGAGATAAACAGATTTGTAAAATTGACCTAAATATCTTGAGAGAATAATAATTGTATTTCCAAGTAGTAATACAGGAACAATTTAGTTCTAGAAGTTACACAGAAATTGTAACAAAATTGAGTTTTCTTTTTATGAGGAAAATATAAAGATACATTCATTTTTTAAAGGTGAATTTGGGGTCCCATAAAGACTCCTTCCCGCTTATAATAGCTGCCATATTTTCCCGAAATCTTCCCCTTCATAATAGCTGCCATATTTTCCCAAAATCACTGCAAAAATCCTTGAGTTATTTTCCCAAAGGCATAAGGCACAGGCTTCTGTCAAAAACGAGATATAAAAATCACTTAGATAATCCAATTCAGATTAAATCAATCAAACTTCATTGTATTGGCATATGTCTATTGTGATCATTCAAATTACTACAATATTGGGAAACCAGATTAAAATGGTTTCCTGCAATAAACAGTTAGAGTTACAAACATGCACCTACTTGGGTTTTTTCTTTATTGGAGGCTGAACACAGCGTCGGGCTATCTCAACGGCCTGGGCTGCGAAGTTTGTTTTGAGTAGATCCGGGTAGTTGTGTTCATCCACCTCTACACTGCATCAACAATAACACGAGGTTCATACGATGTTACATGACATTCATATACAGATGATTAATCCACATGTAAAAGTTGGCTATAATTAACAACCATTATGCCACTTCTATCAGTGTTACAGATAATACATTGTAACATCAGTATCATATACACTGTAACCATGCTAACAGCAGGTTCATATACACTGTAACCATGGTTATATCAGGTTTATATACACTGTAACCATGATTACATCAGGTTAACATGCACTGTAACCATGGTAACATTAAGTTCACATACAATGTAACCATGGTAACATTAGGTTAAACAAAACTGTAACCATGTTAACATCAGGTTAATATACACTGCAACCATGGTAACATCAAGTTCAAATTCAATGTTACCATGGTAACATCAGGTTAAACAAAACTGTAAACATGGTAACATCAAGTTCAAATTCAATGTTACCATGGTAACATCAGGTTAAACAAAACTGTAACCATGGTAACATTAAGTTCACATACAATGTAACCATGGTCAATTCAGGTTAACATACACTATAACCATGGTAACATCTGGTTCAGTTTCACTGTAACCGTGGCAACATCATGATGACATACAAAGTAACCATGGTATTACCAGGTGTACATACTTGTTCACTGTAACTATGTAATACTGGTTCATTTACACTGTACCAGAATTTGTGGCTGTGTACCAACTTATACAACTTCTCGTCAAGGGCCTGATCAGTGAACAGACAATTATATTGTTGTACTTAATATCATCATAATTGCAAGATGTTTCTTTATATATATTTTATATATAATTTGTAACTAAGCTAATTTTTGTTGTGTTTCAGATATTTCATACTTTGTAAACAATTAACACTGTGTAGGTTTCACAAACATAGATGCACAATCCAAAATCTGGAAATAGAGGACAACAAAAATTTTGTGGACAAATAAATAATCTCCCTAATAACAACATGAAACTGTACATCAACAAACAGATATACAACAAACTGAGGTTAATCTGGCCTGTTATTTCTACAGATGTCACTTTAACTCAATCACCCCTGACGACACATTTGAACTGCAAAACCAGTTAATTTAGAGCTATTTCAGAAAGGAACATGCATAACATCAATGTCAGCAAGAGTGATTAATAGAAGTGGAAATAACCTGTTTCGTAATTTTTGTAAAATAAATAAAGTTTATATAATTATATTTGTGAGGCAAAATAATCTAATTTACTTTAATTTACTCGATACTGTTGAATTGACATGATTTTTTTTTACAAACCTGAGGATTTTTTTATTTAATTCAATTTTCATTATCATGTACTTGAACAATTTTTTAAATACTTACAGTATTTATTTTTAGCTTAATACAATGAAATTAAGAACATATATGGATAATCAAAATAACAAAAGTAATTCTACAAAATGCTTTTTCCCCCTCACTACTATACTTATCATTGAATCATGTACATCAGAGTAATTTACTTCATATTGTCTACCAAGTAAATGATTCCCATACACCTACAGTGTTCTTCATGCCTGATATTATCTACGAAGTAAATGATTCCCATACACCTACAGTGTTCTGCATGCCTCATATTGTCTACGAAGTAAATGATTCCCATACACCTTAAGTGTTCTTCATGCCTCATATTGTCTACCAAGTAAATTATTCCCATACACCTACAGTGTGCTGCATGCCTCATATTGTCTACCAAGTAAATGATTCCCATACACCTACAGTGTTCTTCATGGCAATGGTATTTTGCTTTAATATTAAATTTGAACACTACTGAATATTTCATTTAATCCTACGGACATTTTTATGAGTTTAATCTTATCTTATAAGCTATGCTACATAACTGTATAAATTTAAATATGAACCCACATACAATTGTTTTGGAAAATTATGTTCCATGTGTTTGAATCTAAGGCCAGTTATCTCAATTTCCAAATTCCACTCAGAACCCCCCTAGGCTAATCCCCAGGTAAGACCCTCACCTGCTAATCTCACAGGTAAATATGAAAATATTAATCTGAAAGGTAAATGCCAGGTAAGTAAGTCATTAACTGTACCTCAAAGGGCACAAATACTCTGGGCCTTATCCCAAAAGGCAGATATGTACACATACAGTTTCTGAAGACAAAAGAGTTTGAGCAAAACCTCTGTATTATGGTCTCAAAGAGAGGGTGTTATACTCTTAAAATCTCCATAGATATCCTGTTGAGGTTGATAAGAGAACTGTTAGACCCTGGAGGGAAACAGATTAATTCTTTTCATGGACGTGCCATTTGAGTAATTAATACAAAATCAAATCACAGTCATACATGCTTACTTTTTGCAATTTCCATGGGGGAGATTCTGCATGCTCAATACTAATTGTGTATGTACCCCTACAGACAAAATAACCTTTTAAAATGACATATTATAAGTTGTTCTTTCAGATGAAATCATTAGATCCTAGAATGTATAAACAGTTCAGCAAATTCACTGGTTCAAAAATACTAAATTTAAGGGTCCAAAATCGGGAATCTTCCTCCTAAATAGGGAGAGTTGGCAAGCATGCAACCCCTTGGCTTAATGAAAATCAACTATTCTAACAGTTCTTTTCAAAAAAAGAAGACATTCGACGATATTCAGATCAAGTGGGTTTTTTTTAAACTGCTTATTTAAAACCACATTTCATACTTGAATTTAAAGTTAGCATTAGAAATATAGTTATATCGCACATGATGTCATTTTTCTCAAAGACCATCATTTTAAAATCAAAAATTATTGTAATCCTTGCACAAAACACATCAGAAACGAATCTTTAATTTCAATATACATGTACACAGTCTCGGTTTCTTTTCTGATTTTCTTCTGGTATCTTTATCAAACTTTGCTTTACATTTGAATATGTTTCTAATTATTGAAATATTTAGTTGTCTACTTCTAAAAGAGGTATTTTAGATATAAAGAAAACATGCAAAATTAAACTGAAAAAGGAATATGTTAATTTTCAAGTTTTTCAAACAAAACAATGCTTTTTGTAGCATTTATTTTTTTAGAGAAATTAAATAAATCAGGAACACCTTTTTCTAAATTTTGAGGAGGCCAACCACTAAGTAATATGACGGGGTCTCAATAAAGCATCAAGTCCCCCATTAAAAGCATTTTTCTAGGACTTGAATATCTGTATCCCAAAAATCACAGCCTTCTAAAAGTAATGTTTACAAGACCCCAACACACAATATTTTGATATTCATTTAAAAAAATTCTAACAGGATTTTTTTACATGAGGACATTTTTACTTGTAAACACTCTAATTAGAGTGATTGAAAGGTATCATAAATAAGTTCCCTCCTAAAACGACAAACACTTGTTGATAGACTGTTTACCTATTGTCATTTCCACTCACCTGTCAACACCTACGTGACAAATGACCTTGACATGGGTCAAGATTATCACACGGTATTGGTCAAAATCAACAGTCCAAAGTGAAATTATCATCTACCATACCCGAGGAATTCTAGTTTTCAATTGTTGGCATTTTTTATCACCCCTTTGAAGACTAGGGTGTGAATATGTGGCATTTGTCGAGTACTACAACTTGTGGAAGTGACCAGATGTGGACAACCACTGACCACTTAAAACATGCAAAACTAGCCCTACTCCTTGACCACTAACACCTTAAACTGACCATCAGAACAAGTCTGAAACCTGAAATTTCAAACTGAACTAGATGGGTACAGTAAAATAGTCAGCACTATCAATTCACAACAGACTTAATGAGAGAAGAAAAACCAAGAGGTAGTATCAATAGATGAGAAAAGAAGATTTTTCACAAATCTATTTTTTTTCTTTTATTGGTTATTAATTTTAGCTTTAATATCAAAATGAATGTTGATCAGAATTCCAATATTATTCAAAGGTTTTAAGATAATAGCATTTTCTCTTAAATTTTTTTAATTTACTCAAAGCGTGACAGTTAGATTTGAATTTATATGGCATACTTGACAACCCCTCCCTATTTTGGAGGGAAACTCCTGACTTTGGACCCTAAAATTGCACATTATTCCTATTTCAAAGATCTGATGATTACATCTGAATAACAGCTCAACAGATATCATTTGCAAGTGTTATATTTCCCTAAGTTGTTATACATATATTTTATTTATGCTTTTAATTCTGAGCACGTGTAATCCCCCCCATGGAAATTTTAAAAAGTTGGCAAGTATGATATGGTATCATCAAGATTGATATCAAATAATGGAACCCTTCTCCAATTTTACTGTAATACCCTACTAAAACCTACTCTAGACTTAGGGTTCTGTTAAGCATTCTACAGAAGGTGGCATAAATTGTCCTTTTTTACACCTTTTTCTTATAAAAAATATCTTTGCATTAAAGCTTAAGTTCAGAACATTTTATAATCACAGAAAATATGATAATTTACAAAATTTCATAATTTCTAATCCTTTTATTCAGTTTAACCGGAAAAAATAAAAAAATAAGTGTTCTGTCTATGTTTAGAAGTAGGTGGTTGACTTGAAAGAATAGCCAGATAAATGTTCACATGATATAATTATTCATTATCTTTATAATAGCATGTCTGATTGGAGGATACGTACTGGTCACATGACGGGGCAATAAAACATTCATATTTCATATTTCCCTTATTCAGAGCCTCTCCAGAAAAATCGGCAAGAGCCACAATAACCTAGATGAGTAGACAACAACAATGACGCGTCAATCCGATCATCTCTACTATTGTGTTCTAGTTTTTTTCATTTATTTATCAATTTTTTCAGTATAATAAAATATGTATTGCCCTTGCTATAGGGAACACAAGTCTTTGCCCTGACGAACCATGATAAATCTCGGAGAAACAAAGAATAGTGTTTCCCAACAGTAAGGGCAATAAATGTATAATGTTGACTATAAATATGTATTCTGCAAATAGTTGCTCCAAAGTTTATAAGTAGCAGGCTACTTTTGCCAGCAACTGAGAACATTCCAAAGATACCAACTTCCTCCCCCCCCCCCCCCCCAAAAAAACCAAGCTTATAATGAATTCAAAATTATTGGACCTATACATCAAATTCATAACCGATTCAACTAACTCGGGGAGGGGGAGCTAAAATCAAGAAAATTCTACCCTCATTATACTTACGTTACTTGTTTCGCTGGATAGCCTTCCGGGATACCTAATCGTATGTTCATAAAGTAATTATCCTGTTTTATCTTTAGTCCAATTTCTGCTGTTTTCTGTTTTAACTTGAGCGAATCATCCGACGTCAACAAGGTTTTTTTAACAGTTTGTATTTCATCACTACATACACAGAGGGGATTTTCATGAAGAAAATTCAGTACAAAATTTGTCAGGAGTAAAATCTGAAAAACAAATCGTAGCAATATTTTAAAACGATAGTTTCAATGGATCACAAATATTATAAAGTATCAAAACCTTCATGTATTAAATTCCCAAACATAGAAAAATCACTCATTATTCAGATGAAACTTCCCTTAAATGATATCTTTTATAACAATAATAATAAGTAAGTCAGTGTTTTTTTAATTGCTAATGGCAAATAGGAAATATCTCTAGCATTTTTCATGGAAGTAATGGGTTTTTTTTCGAATAAAGCAAAGCTGTTAATAAACCAAGGTAAACCAATTAGGTAGAACCATACTGTACTTCTCAAATAAGCTCCTAGTTTTGTGGCATATGCCAAATAACAGGACAGTGATTGAAAATAAACATTTGTTCACATTACGGAACATTATATTTGTAAATTTTAGTCTATCTATAGCTACTGTGACCTTGAACTTTGACCTAGTAACCCTAAACTCAATTGGAACCTCCTCTACAAGGGACATCCTCCATCCTCCAAGCATGGTTTAGATCAGATCTCTGTATCTGTATGGTTTAGATCAGATCTCTTTATCTGTATGGTTTAGATCAGACCTCTGTATCTGTATCTGTATGGTTTAGATTAGATCTCTGTATCTGTATGCTTTAGAACAGATCTCTGTATCTGTATGGTTCAGATCAGATCTCTGTATCTGTGGCTGTATGGTTTAGATCAGACCTCTGTATCTGTATCTGTATGGTTTGGATCAGATCTCTGTATCTGTATGGTTTAGATCAGATCTCTGTATCTGTATGGTTTAGATCAGTTCTCTGTATCTGTATCTGTATGGTTTAGATCAGATCTCTGTATCTGTGTCTGTATGGTTTAGATCAGATTTCTGTATCTGTATGGTTTAGATCAGATCTCTGTATCTGTATGGTTTAGATCAGATCTCTGTATCTGTATCTGTATGGCTTAGATCAGATCTCTGTATCTGTATCTCTATGGTTTAGATCAGATCTCTGTATCTGTGTCTGTATGGTTTAGATCAGATCTCTGTATCTGTATGGTTTAGATCAGATCTCTGTATCTATATGGTTTAGTTCAAATCTCTGTATCTGTATGGTTGTGGATAAAACTCATAAATTGAATCTCAAATCCGGGGAGGAGGAATGGAGTAAAAGTTAGTTTTTGAGGCTGCTATGTAACTGGTCGACCGTAGTTGCGCTGATGGAGGATTCTTTCAGAGCGTTCCCATCGGTTAGTGTACGTGGGAAGAGGGATTGTCTGTAGTTTTCAGTGTTGCACGAGATCTGTTGTAGTTTCTGACTGTTGTTTTGATGTGTGTTGGTACAGATGTAATGCTTAAGATATATAGCACTTGCAAAACCAACATTTTCCCCCCAATATTTCAGTCTATTTATAGCTACTGTGAATTTGACCTTTGACTAAGTGACTTCAAAATCAATAGAATTTCCCCCCTCCCTCTGCTGGGGGCATCATTTACTAAAATTTGGTTTACATAGAATTCATTTTTGTTAAGTTATCATCTGAAAACAACTGTCCAATTGTGTTACATGTTTTATCTTTTTTTTATTGTAAATTTTTGAAATTCTACTCCATGCATCATTTTAGTCTTCTTTTTTCAGTATGTGGTAGATTTTAATTGTGCATATTGCTTCACACTAGAGGAAATTTGCCTTTAGCTCAGGGGTAGAGCTTCAAACTATGAAGTCTGGGGTCGCAGATCCCCGGTGGAAGCACACTACTCTCTTTCCTGTTACAAGTATATCATTTGAGAAACATCACTGTCATTGATCATCAGTATTACCTGACGTTGGCCGACCCACTTCTTGGTTTGTTCTTCACAGACCTTCAGTAGCCCGTCCAGCAGTTTCTCTGACAAGGACTTGCTCTTCAGCTCCATGACGATTGATTCGTGTGGGTATTTAGGCGGGAACATCACAATTAGTGTCACATGTTTCTGATCTGTTACTCTGTAAACAATGTGATTGCGTAAAAAGCAGCTGCATCAAATTGTCAGACTCATAAATAGGTTTCTTATCACTTTTAATTATTTCGTATTTTGATCAAATAACTCAGGTAATGCCATTTTTTTATTACAAATATATATATATATGTAAATACCTGTTTTTATCAATTCAGAAGTGTAAAGATTCATACCTTACCTTTTTGGTTTTTATCTCCAGAAATAGCTATATTATACATTTTTTTTACAGAAAATCCATTTTCTGATTGCAGTTGTAATAATATCAAAATTTAGTCTTAGTATCTGATTCAATATTGCTGACCTGAAGGATTTCTTGCATATTAGAGGCATGCTGCAGCCATATCGTATAGGGTGGACTTGTGACTTATTGAGACTCAAGTTGGTCACTATCAACAGTTCTGCTATAAGATCTCAAACCTCATTGGGTGTTTTGGTTGCTCAGTGGATAGTACAATCGCCTATCACCAAGACAGCCAGGGTGCGACTCCAGGTCAGGAGATGGCATTTGAAAAAGACATTTATGGGTCTTCTAGTTCCTCCGATATTAAGACACCCTATGGGGGTCCGTTTTTGCCAACAACAGTGATTAGTTGAAGTAGAAAAATAAATATTTATTGTTGTAAATTAAAAAAAAAACTATATAAACCTCATTGACACTTTAAATTTTCTTGCAGAGGAAGAAAGGATTTTTTATTTCATTGGACATGTTGTAAACCTTTTCTTGTTTACTGTCATCATTATGACAACCAACTTAGGTACAATAATATCTCCACAACTAAATTCTCAAAAGGCAGCATTTGCAATGTTTTATCAGATGTGTTTGTAACTTTTCTTATAATATCTTGTTCAATGTCATGAGTTGTGGCATTGCAATAAAATATATATGGGACAGATTTGATTGTCTGGAGTATGATCTTACTTGATGCCAAGCCTAACAGACAGCTCCACACAGGTAACCAGCGTTACACCTTCGATGAGCGGAGCTTTCTGCTTCACCTGTGCCAACTCTGATTCTATCACCTGTTCTCTGGTTTCCTCCATATTGTCTTCAGGTGTGCTGCTATTTACCTGAAGCAAGAATAATCATGTTAAATAGATGGAAAAGTAAAATACCTCTTATATTACATGTAGCAGTATTGAGCATATTTAAAGTTTAGAGGACCTGGGTTCGAATGCTGGTCTGACCCCTATTACATTTACTTCAGCTCTTCTGTTACAGTGGTGCCTGTCACTAACCCTTGTTTCAAATTATGTGTATAAACTTGGCAAGGGGATACCTGAATCTGGGATATAGAAAATAGTGTAATCTGGTGTGGTAACTATAACAAGAGGCCCAGAAGGCCTTTATCGCTCCACTGAATATGTTTAATATAATTGGTATGAAGTAAAGATATAGCACTCCATGGTAGGTGCTGTAAGTACATATGAAATTTCAGAAAGATCCATCCAGTACTTGAGATTTAGCATGAACAAACTTCAAACAGAGCCCCAACCCTATGCCCGCTATGGGGGAGGGGTGTCATACCTTCCATTTATACAAAATTGAGTCCTCTTGGCCCAAGGATGCTCCAGACTAAATAAGGATAAAATCCCTTAATCCTGATGGTCATAGAAGGATTTTAAAGGTTTTACCTCTATTTCTCCTATTGGCCCTCGCCCTTCTACCCCCTGGGAGACCACACCTACTGCTTATACAAAATTGAGTCCCCTTGGCTCAAGGATGCTCCAGACTAAATAAGGATAAAATCCCTTAATCCCTATAGTAGCGGAAGGAATATAAAGGTTTTACCTCTATTTCCCCTATTGGGCCCTGCCCCTCAGGTCCCAGGGAGGCCAAACCCACCATTTATACAAAATTGGTTCCCCTTTACCCAAGGATGTTCCACACCAAATATGGACCAAATCCTTTCATTCCTACAGAAAAAGAAGGATTAAAAAAATGCATGTTTCCCCTATTGGTCCCCACCCCTCAGGCCCCTGGGGGACAGACCCATGGTTTATACAAAATTTGTTCCCCTTCCCCCAAGGATTTTTCTGACCAAATGTTGCCTAAATCTGCTCAGTCGTTCATGACTAGTAGCGAAGTTGACAGACACCGGACAACTGATTCATCGGTCCTTCAAAGTATTTTTAGGTCACCGGTCCTTCGGACCAGGTGAGCTAAAAATACATTGATAAAGGAAGGAAGTGAGTAGCAGGACTGGGCCAGGTAACAACTAGTGACTCGATATGTTCAAGCATCGGTCCACAATTCAGAGGTCCGACTCCCAATTAAAATCCTGGTCAGTTCCACTGGCATTCTCTTTTCTGTTAACATAAAACACTGGATCCTTATGCTGGATACGTATTACATTAAATAGGCATATGTGGCAAGAAGATACCACCAAATATCAACCAAGGTAGCAAAGCGGCATTCTCTGTAACATTATGCACTGTAAAGGATGCGAAAATCTTCTTACGCACATAGACCAGGTATTACTGATTCAATTTTTAGTCATGACCCGAGATATGTGACTTTCAGAAGTTGACCGGTTTGCTTTTCTTTTGACATTTATTTATTTTTATTGTAATCTTATCCTTGTCAGAAAGAAATTTGTAATTGAACTGATCCTTTTTCAGTAACAGAAGCAATGATCTTCCTCTTCTTTGTCGTACGGGGGATCCATCAATTTGATGTTTATGCCCTCGATCAGTATCCGATGGTAAATTGGAAATATTTTACAAAGGAATGCCAGATTCTCAGAAAGTTTATCATTCAACGTTGTATTCTAAATAACTCCTATACCATAAAAGGCCGCTCAATAGTAACTCGCCGTGTGAAACCTCTAACTCTGTTGGAGTATTAAATGTGTTGTCATCGACGAATGTTGACATATTTATATATTTCTGAATGGTTGAATTTGTATTTCTGAATGGTAGAATTACAATTGAATCTTCATCTTCAAAGTAGAAACCATTTACATAGACAGTTGATTTACCTTATGAATTGTGATAATCAAATATGGTGTAAACCACGCGAAATATAGGTAAATCTGGGTTGAAAAGTACTGACATTTCACCACAATGCCAGTAAAGAAGGTGGCGTTGTTGGAGAATTCTACTTCCGGAGCCGTGATGAGCCCGGCTATAATTTGTAGATCGATCTCTGTCTTTTATTGTGTTTAAATAATTTCCAACCAAAAAAAACCCGGTTATATTATTGTAAAATATGAATGATGTCAATAGTATGTATTAAACAACATCGTTTTAGAATATATCCCACTGTAGCATATTATTGCTTATAGTCCGTTTCTTATTTGCTGACATTTTATCGGTGTCTTATGTTCCTACGGTTTTCAATATTAGAAAATTCGTGATTGTTTTCTTCTTATCAAGAACGCATAGAAAATTAATGTCCCAATAAAATAAGTTTTCTTAATCTCATCAGGTTAGCTAACACAATCGGTCAATGTGTTTTCTTGTGTTTGAACAGAGATAATTGCTGGAATACTATGTACAGTTACATATCTTATGTAAAAGGTGCTGCTGCAAACAGTTATACAGTCATAATCGCGAAAACTCCCTGAAATCCGGGCTTATAATATAATCTATATACTGTCCCTCCTGAAATATACCAGATGTACAAGAAATCAGTTACTTTATTAGATCAACTTTCCTTTCATTTTGATACAATACATTTATAAATCCTGGATAACGTAGGGTTTTGTATGTGTCCCTAGTTCGGCATTATTTATTTTCGTTTCATAACTTTTGAAATAATCGATCAGATGCAAAAAGATATACTGTGTAAAAATTCATCACTATCTATGTTATTTATATCATGGACTTGGGAAGAAAGAATAAAGTGCTGTGTCGTAATAATGAAGAGAACAAATAAATATTTGAACTTTATGGTACTGTTTATCCACGGACTTAGATAACGGACTAATCTAATTCCGTGGTAATATATAGATATCCGTCTTAAGATGGTTTTTACATTAAATTCAAGCATTACTTTCGAAATTAGTATCTCTCAACTCCCTTTATCTAAGCTTATCCATTTGTATTTTCGTTCAGGTAGTCCGAATTATTCTGACGTTTTATCGACTTTTTTTATATCGGTCTGTCGATTCGGACTATCGTTCAGGGTACACTTAAAGTTTAGCTATGGTATATTACAAACCAAACTCTACTTGCGATTATTTTAACATTAAGTAAACCATAATAAATGTCATTTCAATTACGCAATTGTAACATGCGGTCCTTTTCAAATATTTTAATGTTCAGCTAATGATGGCGTGTGTTTCTTGTCCCGTTTTCCTTTGATTGCTGATAAAGTCCGATAGCTCCATTAGTCCAGTCTGAATATTTAAGTAAGTGCATATATCTGTCCCCTTTATCTTGTCCCTTTGTACTCCAGAACTGTCGGCCCCTTTCATGGATAACCCTTTGTTAAAAATCTATCTTCGATCATGATTGATCCGAATGATTTCCAGTGATTTTACCCAGGTGTAACAGGTAATCGCGTGAAGGCTGCAGCCGTCTCGCGCTGATTAATGTCCTGCCTCTGGCTATTTGTATCTTACGTCTTCAGGTCCGAAATTGACCACTGCAGGACCAAGAATTAGATTTGGTGTGCGATAATGTTGCTTGCATATTTGTCATCTCTGCAATAAAAATTGAGCCGGTATTGTCTGCCTGTCGTGTTGTCATGTCATTCGTAACCATGACATCCTCGCGCTGGTCAATTTCACGTGTTAACCCCCTGAAGGTCTTTGTTGATTTTTTAACAAACCAGGCTATTAAATAGTCTAATATGTCATCTATGACTAGGTCTGGACATTTTCATGATCGGTTCGCTCCTTCCCAGCCCAATTTTCCGGGAAACCTGACAACAAACAAATGTTTAGACGATCTCGCGCAGACGAAACATGCACCGATGCATCCAAGGTCATTAATTATAGTCGTAACGGTATCGGAGCTATGGCCATAAATCTTGTCAAAATCAGTTTTTGTGGCAACAATTCAATACTAAACGCATTATGTAGACTGAATGGTCCCTATAATCAAATAAAATACATACATATTGAATATTTGAACACTTATAGCATAAAGGTCAAAGTGTATATTACAACTTTAAGTTTTAAAAAGAACACACATTGAGACAACATTGTCTGAAAATTATGTGCCTCAATTTTACTCAGTAATTCTATATCCACTTAAGAAAAGGTTATTTTTATCAAAACGTTTATATTTTGATACAATCTAGGTTGTTATCATTTAAAAATCAAGTTCAAAGCAACGTTCGTCATTATATGGCTTTAATAAACAAACAACAATAACACAACCTAAATAAAATAAATCAGTATCGTATTTAAGAAACATCCTCATATGAAAAGCTAAAACGAAGAAAAATCTTTAGAGTATGTTGTTGTTTATCAATTAAGTTTCAAAAATGTACAGGCACGAATCTACTAATCAATTATTTTTCTACTTAGAAGGATTAAAGGCACTCAAGCATAGAAATACGCTGTCGTCGTTGTGTTTATATCGTGAAAATCGATTATTGATCAAGAAAAAAACAGTGCAAGGAAACCTTATGAAAGCGTATAACTGCCATTTTTTCTTCTACGGAACACGGAAAGGGGAAACATTTATAAACTGAGATCAACTAAGTTTAGTAATACATACATTTATTTGTTGCATTTTCGTTGCATTTTTTTCTGAAATATTTATCCAGTTAGACTATATTCTTACTGAAGAAACTGGTTAAATTTTGTTAAAAGTGTTGTTGAATTCACTGCTAAAGTTTAAGTCATATTTACAAATTATTTCATTTTCTCTTGAAAGAGTCATTATAATAAATAAAACATAACTTTAATAATAAGCACAATTTCACTACTTCTACCTTATTACATATTTATTTTTCATTTATCTAATTCATATATTACTGTCGTCTGTTCTTGTTCGTATGTTTATACATATATTTATGACAATATGTAAACATAGGGTTTACGTGACCCGACCTGGACGACCTTATTAGAACAATACGTTTCCTAAACAAAAACCAAGCCGACCTGGAACGACCTGGAGATTGGTCATCACTTGGAATGACCACTGACCCTGTTGTTTCGGACTTTAGAGATAAAGCCGGAACTGACCATCTATTGTTGTCCAGATTTGTACTAGATTAGTATGTCACCTTATTGAATTGTAACGTACACCCGTTATCGTCCCCGCCGCTATTATCTTTTCTCCAACCTTATCACACCTCCAAATAACCAATTATCACCTGGAGATAGATTTTGTAGCAATTACATAGTCCTTTGAAATTCCTGATCTCCCCACCTATCTGACCAGTCGGGTGAGTTTCACAAGTTCCGGTCAAGAATATATTATGACCCTTACTAATTAAGTATGAATAGAGTCAACAGAGACTGGTCAAATGGACTTGACCACGACAACTTGGACTCTGTTACGTCATCGTCAAGATCAAGGTCTAGGCTGTAAAAACGTCTGATAACGGCATGTTTCCAGGTCTATACCTATTGTCAACATGTTCTTGAGTGAAACTATTATTGAATAAATATCGAAACATTGTTATTTAAACATAGTGATACCGGGTTTGTTTTCATTATAATCAAAACGTGTAAAACAAACAACGGAGTGTTCCAACTCCTTTATTTCATAATAGGACAGGTTTTGCTTACTGCATTGAAAGAAAAAGAGAGAGTAATTTTAATCAATATTCAGACCGGGTTTTTTTCAACCGGTTTCAAATAAAATATTTAAGCTCCTATTAAAAAAAATAATAAAAAATCATATTATAATTTTGTGTATACACAGCAGGGAATTAGATGCTATCTAAGTCGGTGGAACACAGATATATTAAACAAACCCCAATAACATTTTCATTGATAACATTCGGTTGTTATTATTATTGGAAACCAATATCATATTTAAGAGCTGAAGAAGATGGGTTTGAAACTAAATTAAAACGAATATTTATTGTTGTCGTTGTTAATTATTTTATCATCAAATCACCATCTTACTATAATTGAACAATAGAATGTTTCATTACAATTAAACCATATTTTTGAAGACAATTTTTTATACACCTTAAAAATATCTTTTGTTTTAACTTTTTTTTTTTTTTTTTAAATACATCTACATGTACACATATTTTATCATAATTTAGTAATGGATTATAAAATTTAAGTAACTTCTATTGTTTTTTTGGATGTTTCCATAAATGCATATTTACACAAGAAAAGAACACAACACCCTGAAGCTTGTTTTCTAATGTTAGTTTCTCGATCTGCAGAAGTTGTTATATATCTGTTAAAGTGTCCCAGTTGATGTCACATTACACCCTGTCTCTTTATAATAAACCACATCAGCTTCATTTAACAAGATAAAATAAAGATAAAAACACACGCATTATATTTTTTTGCTTTATCAACAGCTAAAACGCGTGAATGTGTCTGTATTTAATAAAGAGAGGTAGAACACTTATAAAAATCAAATGTAGGTTTAATGATCTAGCCACGCGTACAACTCCAGGTGACAAACGGCTGTATTTAGATATTTCGTACTTAAGGGCAATACAAAGTATGCATATTAAAATAATTGTGATATCTCTGTTATCAAACCTGGTAAGGCAAACGACTTTATGTTTACAAATGCCGATATACGGATCAAAGGAGCCGCCCAGGTGATCGAACAGGTGAGGAAGCGTCAGATCGATCACAGGTGTGCAAACCGGGCAGGTATCACCTTTGTAAACACCCTAACTCCGAAGCCCTGTCAATATGACGTCACAGCAGCCCTACGGTACCCAAACCAGTCGAACTGTCAATGGATGACGCTGGGTTTCCAACTAACAGTCCGTTGCCAATGGTCAGGAATGTATAAGATACAAAGGGGGTTAATGGCATTCATCCTACGAAACAACAAAGATAGATATTATGGTTTCATAAGTCTATGGTATCAGAAACAATTTATTTGTAATTCGATGTGTATTATTGATAAGTCAAAACAGAGACATATATAGCCATAGTAGTACATACGTCAACTCACGAGAGTTGGGACAAATCGTTAAACGTATTAAATTTTT